CTTGTGGGGTGTAAGGTAATGCCGCCTCTTCCATTCCTGATATTGATGATCTGTGTCTTCATTACCTTTTCCCAGCCAGTTTAACTAGATGTTTATCAAGTTTGTCTTTTCAAAGAGCAAGCCCTGGTTTTCTTGATTGTCACATTGTTTTATTACTTTTCACTTAATCAATTTCATACCTTATGCCCGCTTTGGGATTAATTTAGTCCTTTTTTCATTTAAAAACTTTAACCTCTTTATGTTATTTTATGTAAAGTGTACTTCTTGCAAGAAGCATAGTTGAGGTTTGGCTTTTTATCTAATCTGACAGTGTCTTTTCCATGCCTCTTTCTCTCTCTTCTTCTTTGGGGACCCCGACTACATGTATATGAGGTTACTGGATGTTTCCTAAAACCGCTAATGCTTTGCTTTTTGTCCGTGTTTCATTTTAGATCATTTCTATTGCTGTGTCTTCAAATGCACTTGATTTTTCTTCTGCAGTGTTTATTCTGCTGTTAATCTCATCCAGTGTAATTTTCACCTCAGGTATGGTCGTTTTCCTCTCTAGATGTTCTGTTTGTGTCTTCTTTAAAAAGATCCTCCTCATCTTTATTTCATATGCTTACTTTTCCTCTGGCTTCTTGAACGTATGGAATATAGTTATGACTCCTTAATGTCCTTGCTTACTAACGCTATGATCTGTGACATTTCTGAGCTGGTTTCAACTGATCTGATCCTTAATATGCATCACATTTTCCTCCTCTTTGAGTGCCTGGTAGGTTTTGAATGGATGCCCAGCATTGTGAATTTCGTTTTCTTGGGCGCTGGATATTTTGCATTTCTACGAATGCTCTTGAGCCCTGTTCTAGGGTGCAGTTAGGTTACTGGAAAGCTCATTCTCCTGCAGCTTGTCTATAAGCCAGGTTAGGCTGGACTGGACCAGTGGTTATCTAGGGCTAGTTATGCTCCCACTTGTGAGTCATCTACCCACTGCCTTGACGATTAGGAGGCTTTTCCACTCTGGCAGGTGGGAATAGGCGCTATTTCTGGTTCTGTTTGGTCTCTGAGGATTATGCCACCAAATTTTACTGGTTCTCTCCAGTCTCAGTCTCACACACGTTTGCTGGCCATAACTCAGCTGAAGACTTGAGGAGACCTCTGTGGTTGCTGGGAGCTCTATTGGTGCAGCCCTTTCCTCTGTGGCACTCTGTCCTAGGAGCATGAGCTGCCTTGGTCTTCCTCGCCTCCCAGATCCATCTCTGAAACTCAGGTTCCCCCGTCTGCACTGTCTCCTGGAAACTCTCTAAGCAGGGTGGTGGGAGGGATGGTCGTGAGGCTTCTGCATTTGCCTCCTGCTCTCAGGGGTGGCCTGGCTGTGATGCCTCAAGTCCAATATCCCAAGACCACTGTTGCATGATTTTGATAATTTTTCCAGTTGTCCCCGGTGGGAAAGTGCATCCAGTCCCTGTTACTCCAACCTGGCGTGTTGCTGAAACACCCGGGGTTCAGTCTGGGTCCCACTGCTCACGTACAGAGAGCCAACCACTGAGACGAGGTGTGTTGCTGAGAAGGAGGCTTTAGTCAGGTGCTGCAGCAGAGGAGATGGGAGCTGAGTCTCAAATCCATCTCCCTGACTCAAACCAAGGGTTTACATAGCAGGAAAGAAATATAACAATGTGTAAAACAAAGGCCTCTCAAAAAAGTATCAATGAGGTGAATCTCACCAGATCACCACATCCTGACAGTGAAGTATGGGGCCCTTCATTCATCGTCATTGCTTTCTTTCCCAGATAAAGGAAAGTTTTTTGTTTGTTTGTTTGTTTGTTTTTGAGACAGAATGTCACGCTGTTGCTCATGCTGGAGTACAGTGGCACAATCCCTGCTCACTGCAACATCTGCCTCCCAGGTTCAAGCGATTCTCCTGCCTCGGCGTCCCGAGCAGCTGGGATTACAGGTGCACACCACTGCACCCAGTTAATATTGTATTTTTAGTAAAGACGGGTTTTCATCATGTTAGCCAGGCTGGTCTCAAACTCTTGACCTCAGGTGATCGGCTCACTTCAGCATCCCAAAGTGCTGGGATTACAGGTAAAGCAAAGTTTTGAGCTTTAAGATCAGCCGGGCCAAATTCCGTGTTCATCCAAAGAAAACTATCTATGGGCTATTGGGTCTTTTTCCACTGGAAGTGGATTTTCTGTTCTGCCCAACTTTGTTTCCATTCCAAGCTCCTTACCCTCAGGTTGGGAGAGAGGAAGAGGGACTCTTCCACGGAAGGAAGCCCTGGTGGCTCAGGCTCAGGAGCTCACAGTGGCCAGAGTCCGGCCCTGTCAGGTTCTTCCTGCAGCCGCCTGTGCTGCGTGGCTGATGGAGAGGAGGGCCCTGCCCAGCTGCAGCAGCTGTTCTCACGCTGGTCGCTGTCCAGGCGGTCCTGGGCTCCCCATCCTCAGGCTGCCACTCCTCCCAGTGCTCGCTGGGCATCCTCCCGCTCAGACCTCAGCAACTCTGGCTTCTGGGCCTGGCTCCTACCCACTTGCATTTTGGGCCCCTGGGTGATATCTTGTCATTAAGTTCTGCCCTAAATGGAACCCATGGGTTTTTCTTTCTCTATCTGGGAATTCTGGCTGTTTCTATTTGGGATTTAGGGAGATTTAGAAACTCCGCCTCAGGCACCGTGCACACATCTCTAAAATCCACCTGTCCCCCTCAAAACATTCCTTATTGATTGTAGTAAATGAAAATTCACAGCAAAAAAGAAATAGAAAGATTTGGTTTAAAAATAAAAGGTTTCTACCCAAAGCCCACAGCAAACCACATGTGCAGTGGTGAACCTTTGACCAATTCTCACAAAAGTCAGAAACCATCAAGGATTCTTTTAATTTTATTCAGCATCATTCTGGGTCTTCAAAGTCATGTTGCGACAGGAGAGACAATAGAAGTGGGAGTTGTAGAGACTGGAAATAAGAAGTTAAATTCTCCTTATTTTCAAATGATGAGCTCATCTACAGACAAAACGCCAAGAAAATCAATGACAAACCATAAGAACTACTAAAAGGACTTGCAAAGAACAGGAGCTAAACATATGGTTTGCTAGGAAGACAACATATATGTGAATAATTTATACAGACATGTATTATATTTAAGATTTATATACTAAGACGACGTAATAGAAAACTGTTCGCCACTTACACTAGTAAAACATGCCTGTGAAATTCCTAGGAGTTAATCCAAATAGGAATATTTTAGACCTGTAGAAGAAAATGATAAAATTCTAAATGGACCAATTTCACTATGTAACTGGAAGGCAATATTAAAAATTATAATTTCCTCCTGAATATTTAAAAGCCCAATGCAATCCCAATCAAAATTATAGCAGTTTTAAAAATACTTGAAAAGCTTTCTAAAATTAATTGAGGAGAGTCTATATACAAGCTAGAACCAGTGTTTTTAAAAAAAGAGAAAGTGACGCCTTCCTTATGAGCTGTTAGGATGTGTTACAAAGCTGAATAACATGGATTAAACGTCTGGAGTGGGTGCACGGATGGATCAAGAGATTAATGGAACAAAATATAGATTTCAGAAGTAGACTATACCAACACTTTATCAGGCAAAGAGATGTTTCAGATGGGAGATGGAGAGAATAAACTAACTTTGAAAAAGGACAGGTGGCTATTGGTGGAAGAGAAAGATTAATGCGTCATACTGCACACAAGTCATATCAGCAAATGGGGCAAAAGTTAAATCTAAGCAACAACAATGAACCGATATCAGCACATTGAGACTGGTTTCCAGGCTCAGGGAGTGTGCGGCACAGAAGCAGTGATGGGTTAGAAATACCTGGAGTGCATGTGATGGACAGAGGATCCCCAGCCCTAAATCCGCAGGAAAAACACAAATAGCATGATAGGAAATGGGCTAGGAATGTGCCCAGCAAGCAGTGTGGATGGCCGTGCACTTAGGCGGTAGAGGTTCCCAGCAGCCGTCAGCGCGGAGGGCAGGGAGCTGAGAGCCGAGCCACTGAGGGCACCGGGCAGCACCACGCGGGGACTTCCCCAGGCTCCAGGCCGTGTTCTGTGGTGTTTCTGCACCTGTTCTGACCACAGCCATGGCAGCACCACGTCCATCAGGCTGTGGGCATCTGAGCATCCCGGGGCGGGCATTCACGTCAGGGTTTTGGCCTCTGCAGCCAGCCTGGAGGAGCTTGTCTCACAGCCGGAGGACTCGCTGCTCTGCGCCCACCACTGGTGGCAGAGCCGTATGCGTGGCCTGATGTCACCACTGTCCCCGCTGATGGCCTTTCCCACAGGACATCACAGGCAGCTCATGATCCCCGCATGGACCGAGCCTTAGAGAGATGGGGGCATCACTGACTGTGCCCAGGTCATCTGCAGGAGCCCTGGCTCCTCATCCCTATACCCCCATGGAAGCTGGTGCCCCCAGAGGAGAACCTGGGCAGTGGAATCCTGCATGTCCCTCCCCACCCCCATGATGCTCCTGTCCCTGTTGAGTCCCTGGGAGAATCCTATGTGTCCCTCTGCCCCCTCCATGTCCCCAGTGAGCCCCACCGAGGCCCCTGTCTCCCATGCAGGTGCAGCCGCCCCTCACTTTCCCCTCTCGTTTCTGGTAAATGGGCAGAACCTTAGGGGGTGGCACACAGGGAGGGTGACCAGGCCCGGAGGCTGCGGTGCGGGGACCCCAGGCTGGCTACCCAGCAGCTGACTCTACAGGGTAGGCTCACCCAGGTGGGACAGTGGGTGCAACGGTCCTGGGGTCTGGAGAGCCCCACAGCCCAGTGCAGGGCAGCGAATGACAAGGCTCAGGAAGACCCAGGCACAGGGGCTGAGCCGGGACTGAGCCTTCCTCGTGTGGCTGTGAGTCCCACCTGGTGACCCCCTGGAGGACTTAGGCCACTGTCCCCTGTGACTTCTAGGTTAAGTCACTCATTCCTGGAAACAGTCATGGCTGGAGGAGACCGATGTCAGCTCAAACCATGTGTCCCCCCAGGAGCACACAGGAGAAGAGAATCAGGTGACCAAGGAGAGTTTATTGGGAGCAGGAGGAGGTGCTGACAGGCTCAAGTCGAGGCCAAATGACCTGGGGCAGAGAAGCTGGGAGGGAGGACGGGGCCCAGCAGGCAGGTGGGCACATGCTGGGAGGCAGCAGCTGGGGAGCAGTGAGGATGGGGCTCCTGGGAGCAAGGAGGGTGGTCACCTCAGCACAGGGGAGACACGAGGACCCATCCCTAGGTGGGGACAGCCACCTAACCCAGGTCAGGACCTGAGCATGGCTGGCCCTGGGGGACCTGCCCATCAGCAGCTGGACTCCTGGCCTGAGCCAAGTCCTCAGCAGGCTGGGCAGGAGCATGTGGGGCGGCAGAGGAGGGACACGCAGGAGGCCGGATGGCAGCAGCTGGGCTGGCAGGAAGTGGGGGCACAGCAGGAGGGGACGGGCACGCAGCAGGCAGGCCTGCACACGGGGCAGCAGAGGAGGGACACGGAGGAGGAGGGTCTGCAGCAGGAGGTGGTACAGCAAGCCGGCTGGCAGCTAGACTGCTGGCAACATGAAGAGGAAGCCCCAGAGCAGACAGGCACACAGCAGACGGGCTTGCAGCAGACGGGCACACAGCAGGACTGCTGGCACGGAGAGGAGGTGCAGCAAGCTGGCTGGCAGCTAGACTGCTGGCAGCATGAAGAGGAAGACTCAGAGCAGGTAGGCACACAGCAGACAGGCTTGCAGCAGACGGGCACACAGCAAGACTGCTGGCAAGAGGAAGAGGCACAGCAAGCTGACTGGCAGCTAGACTGCTGGCAGCATGAAGAAGAATCCTCAGAGCAGGTGGGCACACAGCTCACAGGCTTACAGCAGACGGGCACACAGCAGGCTTGCTGACAGGGGGAGGAGGTGCAGCAAGCCGGCTGGCAGCCAGACTGCTGGCAGCATGAAGAGGAGCCCTCAGAGCAGGTGGGCACACAGCACACAGGCTTGCAGCAGACAGGCTTACAGCAGACAGGCTTAGAGCAGACGGGCACACAGCAGACAGGCTTGCTGCAGAGAGGCTTGCAGCAGACGGGCACGCAGCAGGCCTGCTGGCAGGGGGAGGAGGTGCAGCAAGCTGCCTGGCAGCTAGACTGCTGGCAGCATGAGGGCGTGCAGGAGCTGGTGCTGCCTGATTGGCAGGGGCTGGGCTCACAGGCCGCCTGGCAGCAGGGGCTGGACACACAGCTCACTGGGGTGCAGACCAGGGTCAGGCAGGGGGCTGGGGCGCAGCAGCTGGGGGTGCAGCAGGGGGGCTGGCAGCAGCTCTCTGGGCAGTTGTCCACCTGCCAGGAGTCGGAGCAAGCGCTGGAGCAGACGGACATGGTGGATGCGGCCATGCTGGGGTGTGGAGGAGGTGAGTGGGGGAGATGTGAGTGAGTGAGTGAGTGAGTGAGTGTGTGAGTGTGTGAGTGAGTGGGTGGGAGGGTGGATGAGTGACTGTGTGAGTGTGTGAGGTGCTTGGGGCTCTCAGGCTTTTATACCCCTCCTGGCCTTGTTGTCCCAGGCCCCCAGCCTCCCCTTCCTTGTTGCTGAAAGGAAGCGTCTGTCATGATTAGGGATGTGTGTTTGCCTGTAATGTGGCCCAGCTCATAAATCTCCCGTCAGGTCTGGGCTGTGGCCTGTCCCATGTAGATCCCTGAAGCAAGAGTGAATGTGGGCCTGGTTCAAGCACCCACTAGTGCAGCCCCAGCTGTAAGAAGGGGGCTGTGGAGGCCGGGGTCACCCTTCAGCCTTATGCAAAGTGTGGCATCCCAAGCGAGAGCTGTCCCACTCACGATGATGGGGGCATCTCCTCCCTAAAGCAGGCCCTCACTGAAGAGGCAGGAGCAGCGGGTAGAAGATGGCAGCACTGGAGCACCTGGAGAGAAGGGGCAGCAGTGGCCAGTGAGCCCCACATGGTGGCCCCCCACATTCCTTCCCAGTCCCTGTCACTGGAGGAGTTAGAGCCCAAAAGAGGGAGAAGAGGAGCAGGGAAGGAGAGGCCATGTCCCTCCCCACAGCCTTCCCCGAGGCCCACTCAGCCTTGCGTGTGGGAATGCTGGGGCTAGGACTGGGTTTCAGATAGGAAAGAGGATATTTGAACTGGTCCATTTTGGGCATGGATTTGGTTCTGCTCTTAAAGATCATCGCTCTATGATGTGCTTCAATAATAAATAATTCAAGTCCCATTATCAATATTTCTTAAATTTTTTTTGTGCAGATGGGGTCTCAAGTGATCCTCCCGCCTTGGCCAAAGAGCTGGGATGACAGGTGTGAGCCCTGCGCCTGGCGTCATCAGGGTCTCTGCCGTGTCTGTTCCCTGTCCCTGCTCATGGTCCTTGCTGTCCTCAGCTCCCGTTCTCCAAATGTAAGCTTCACGTGAGCAGGGACTGTGTCCTGTTCACCACTCAGCCTTCAAAGGCCTAAAATACTGCCTGGCACAGGAAGATCCTTTATAAAGATGGGCTGAAATAATACACTTCTTTTGGAGAAACTGGTGAAGAGTAATTTTGAGCCCTGAAAATCATTCCATTGTGCCACCTTTCTCTTATGCTGTGTAAAATGCTCTGTCAAGTTCTGCTTTTGTGTGGGGAGAACTGGCTTACATCAGAGTGGCCATCTAGCTGAGAAAAATTAGAAATCTGGTTTACAAACAAAATCTCCGTTCAAAGGGGCCGGGAGGTGTCAAGACGGCAGAGACCTGAGTGGGTGAATCCTCATTAGAGAGAAACTGCACAGAAGTGAGTCCAATATTCTTTGCAGATTTTCTTACTGAGGCATTCACCAATTCACAGGCCACAGCCAAGAGGGCGAGAGGCAGATCAGCTGAGCAGAGCTTTTAGTAGTCTCATGAAATTAGAAGAAAAAAACACGGAGTTCGGGACCTGACAAGGTGGAGGGATTCCAGTTAAAAAAAACCGCAGGCTTTCAGTTGGAAATGCTGAATACAAGTGAAGGGCTACTCCCTGGGAGGAAGGAACAACCAGAAAGAAGAATGCAGCCCATCTTTAAATAGCTCGTATTGACCTCATATGGTCTGTCCGTAGCCTAACTGCCCCCCAGAAACAAAAGTGATCTCCTCTGGAGACAGCAGCATCAACAGAGGCTCAAATAATCTGACAAATATTCATAAAGTCTGTCATTCAGTCAAAAATTACTAGGGGTACTAGAAGACAAGACCGATTGACCAAAGGACCAAGAGGAAAAAACCAACAAGAGCAACAGATGTGCAGGAGATCTGGATGTTAGAATTCTGAAACTGGAATTCAAAGTAATGCTGATCAACTTGCTTAAGAAAATAGAGGACAAATGGAGAATTTTAGGGTCAAACTGGATTTATTAAATGGAATCAGAAAGTCTGGAAACAAAGAACACAACACCTGAAATTAAGACCCAAGTAGCTTAGCTTAACAACATAGAAACAAAACTAAAGAGAAGATTAGTAAAGGAAGGGAGAGGAGGAAATGTCAGGCCTGCGTAGAGATAGGAAAGAAAAGAGACACATAAAAAAAGTGGAGCAGTAGACATGCCTATATTTTGTGAAAAGTTGTGGGAAAAAGGATTGAAATCCTACAAGGGAAGAGTAAAATAGGGTTAGGAAAATATTTGAAGACATAATAGACAAGCACAAGAAAGAAAGAAAAAGAAAAAAAGGAACCTTCCCCAAACCAAGAATTTTTAGCAACGGAATACAAAGAAAACCACACCTGGGCACACTGGGGCTGAAATCCAAAGACTGAGAAAATTTAAAAACAGCCAGAGGAAAAAAAGGCATATTCCCTTCAAAGAAGCAACGATAACATTTACAGATGACTTCTCAGTGGAAATGATGGAAGGCAGAGGACAATGGAATGATATATTTACTGTCTGAAAGAAAAGAAGCATGAAGCTAGAATTGTATACCTGGGAAGAAGATTCCCCCAAATGAGAACAGAATAATGACCTCCTCTGGACACTGAGAGAACGTGTCACCAGCAGGATCTGCACTAAAGAAAATATGAAAGGGAGCATTAGACAGAACAAAAATGATCACAGATGAAAGCAAGAAGTTGATAAGGAAATTAAGTGCAACAAAAGAAGAATATGTGGGAAATCTAAATGAATGTTGACTGTGTAAAATGTAAGTTGTAAAATATTTATAGAAATAAAATACATGGCAAGAATTCAAAATTCGGAAGAAGATACATGGAGTTAAAGTGGCTTAACCACACTGTACCATCTGAAAATAATATAAGGTCTAATTTACATTAGACTTTAAAAAGTCATGGATTCATGTTATAATCCCCACTATAGTAACAAAAGAATATTCAACTCACTAGGAAGTAGATGCACGTACCCAGTTGAATTAGGCCTCCCCAAAAGTCATATCCCCCCAGAACCTCACAATGTGACCTTATATGGAATGAAATAAGGTCTTTGCAGATATAATTAGTTAAGTCATACAAGATCATAGTGAACCTTAAATCCAATGTCTAGTGTCTTTACCAGAGAAAGGAGAAGGAAGTTCAGACATACACACAAAGCAAAAGATGATATGACAATAGAGGCAAAGATTATTAGCCAAGGGACATCAAGGTTTGCTGGGTGCCACCAGAAGCTAGAAGGGGTGAGGACAGACTCTCCCTTGGAGCTCAGAGAAAGCATGGCCCTGTGGAAAGCTTCATTTCAGGTGCCTGACCCTCAGAACTGTGAGAGAATAATTTTCTGTTGTTTTTACTCTCTTGCTGTAATTAGCTGTGGCAGCACTAGGAACCAACATAGTGAAGGGAAAATGAAAAAATAAAAAAAAACCTCAAAACAATCCAAAAACAGTAAAGCAAGGAGATAAAAAGGAGTAGATTCCTTGTATAAGCAAAACCCAAAGTGAGATGGGAGGTTTGAACTCAAACATACCCACAAAGCCCCACATTCCGGATGGTCCTGCACAGCAGATGTATTTTTACTTCAGTCAGCACAGCTGTATAGAGAGAGTTCACTGGGGTTTAAGTTTGCATTGTCCTGATGACTCAAAATGTGGAACATGTTTTCATGTGTTTATTTGCCATCTGTATCTGCCCTTTAGTGAAGGGTCTACTTAAACCATATATGGCAAAATGCTAAACACTGTGGGATTCTGTAGATGTGATATTATGGCAATGGTAATAATAAAAACAAAACAAACAAAATCAATGCCTGCTAGGAGTTAGGGTGGGGATGTGAAATGACTACTAAGGGGCATGAGGGAAATTTATGGGATGATGAGAGGAGTCTGTGTATTGATTGTGTTGGTGGAGACACAACCGTCTGTATTTGTCAAGACAGAATCCAACAAAAGGAAAATCCTAAATATATCATATTGATTAAACATACCGAAGATTAAAAGCCATTCTACAAAGCAAACTACGGATGCAAATACTTTCACCACAGGATGTTCTCAAATAATTGGGAGAGAAATAATGCTAGTCTTAGATTTCTCAGCTTGTTTTATTAGGGCACCATAATTTTCCAGATCTCAGGAAGTGGGGCCTGAAGTACTAAGCTCTCGTGAGAGCAACTGAGGAATGGTGTGTGCTGCCCAGGGGATCACATGGGTGTGACGTGAAGACATGGTGGCCGGGCTGGGAGAATGGCTGGGAAAGGAGGTGAATGAGGAAGGCACTGTCATGCAGAAACTGGTGCAGACTGATCAGTAGGAGCTGGGCCCACAGGACATTATGTAGTGATTAAAGTGAATCCAGCAAGAAGATACACCAATTGTAAATACACACACATCTAACATTAGATCACAAAAGTATGTGGAACAAAAATGGACAGACTTGAAGAAAGAAATGGACAGTTCCAGTTCTACAATAAGAGTTAGAGACTCCAGTGAGCCATTTTCTGTAATTAAAAAAATTAAATAGAATTAAGTTGACATTCAGTAAAGAAATAGAGGACTTAAAGAACCCCATAAACTGGCCTAACATCTACACAAAAACACCCAACTCAACAGTAGCAGACAACACATTCTTCTCAAGTTCACATGGAACAGTTGCCAAATTAGACTATACCTTAGGCCAAAAAACTAGTCTTAATAATTTAAAATGATTGAACTTATACAAACTATGTTCTCTGATTATAATGGAAAGAATTAGAAAACAACAGAAGAAAAACTGGAATTCACAAATATGTGTATATTAAATGGCACACTCTCAAACTACCAGTGAGTCAAAGGAGAACTTAAAGAGAAGATAGAAAATACTTTGAGATGAATAGAAAAGAAAACAGAGCAAACCAAAACTTATGAGATTTGGTGAAAGCAGTATAGAAAGGGAAATTGATAACTGAATGCTTACATTTTTTAAAAAATAGGAAGATCTCAAATCATTCATCTAACTTTTCACTTTAAGGAACTAGACAAAGAAGAGCAAACTAAATCCAAATTTAGCAGAAGGTGGAAATAAAGTCTAGAGCACAGAAAAATGGAATAGAAAATAAAAAATCAATAGAATCAATGAACCCCAAAGTTGGGTTTCTGAGAAGAGCAACACGTATGGCAAATCTTTATCTAGATTTATTAAAAGGTGGCAGATTCAAATAATTAAAATTATAAATGAAAATGGGAACATCACTACTGACCTTACATTAATAAAAAGGATTATAAGGAATATTATGAAAATATGTACACCAACAAATTAGTAAACCAATATGTGATGGAAAAATTCTTATAAGCACACAGACTAACAGCATGGCTACCTTTCCCTCATATGGCTCCACGTTACTGTCTAGTGCCCTTTTACCTCAGCCTGAATTAGCATTTCTTGTAAGGCAAGTCTATTGACAGTGAGCGCTCTCAGGTTTTATTTACCTCGAAATGTGTCACTTTCTGTTTCATTTTTGAAGGATAATTTTGTCAGATGCTGATATCTTTTTGGTTGTTGGTTGCCCCCCGTTCCTGTACCCCAAGCCAGCATGTTACATATGTCATCCCACTGTCTTCTGGCCTCCATGGTTTCTGATGAGAAATCCGCTGTTAGTCTTCTGTCCAGCTGCTTTCTAGATTCTTTGTTCTGACTTTTGAGAGTTCAGTTACACTGTGTTTTTGTGTGACTGTCTTGTTTATTTCACTTGGGGTTCACTGAGTGGCTTGAATGTATAGATTGATGTGTTTTCTCAATTTGGGAAGTTTTGGCCATTATCTCTTCAATTGTTTTTTCTCCTCCCTCTGTCTCCCCCCATCTGGAAATCTGGTTAACTGTGTTGCTATGCTTGATGATGTCCCACAGGTCTTCTAAGACTTGTTCATTTTTCTGCATTCTCACATCTGCTCCCCTGTGTCTCAGCTACTCCTCAGACTAGAGCATGTTAACTCATCTATCCTCATGTTCACTAATTCTTCCACAGGACAAAATCTGCTGTTGAAACCCTATCCTGAGGTGTTTATTTCAGCTGTTGTACTTTTCAGTTCCAGAATTTGTTTGGTTTCTTTTTAAAATTCCTCCTCTTTATTGATATTCTCTATTTGGTGAGGCATCATTATCCCGGTTTACTTTAATTCTTTGGGATTTTATTTAGTTTTTTGAACATGTTTAAGAGAGTTGATTGAAAGGCTTTGTCTAGTAAGTCCAATTCTGGGCTTCCTCAGGAAGATTTTCTATTACCTGCTTTCCCCTCGTGAGTAGCGCATATTTCTTGCTGCTTTGCATGGCACATGCCTCTGCTGAGAACTGGACGGTGACTGTGACAGTGGGAGATTTCTGGGTATCAGGTTCTCCTCCCTCTGCACAGTTTGCTGTTGCTGATTGCTGTAGATTGTGGTTGTTTTTGTTTGTTTATGCCACTTTAAAAAAATAGTTTCCTTATCATGTGTGCTCGTGTTCTATTAGCTTACTGCTCAGATAGTAATTTGACAGAGAGTTCCCTAAACCCCTGGAATGAAGAAATATTTTTCTGCAGGGTTTGTAGCTGGGCTGTGTATGTTGGTCCACACCCTCAGCACTCAGCTGGGGAGTTTGTGACTCTGCTTTCCCCTTCACTTCCTGCTTACTCCTTCACTTCCTGCTTGCTCCTTCACTTCCTGTTGCACCTTCACTTCCTGCTTGCTCAGAGCCTGAAGTTCAGCCAGAGGTGAGCACTGAGAGCATCTCAGGTTTTTCTGAGGCTCTGCCCCATCATGGACATGCACAGGGCCTTCTGGACTCCCAAGAATATGTGGAATCTCCCAACACCCTTATTCCTCAAAGCATGTCGTCTCCCAGCTTTTCCTCCCAGACTTTTTTCGTGCGTCCAGTGTTTTCTAGCTGATATCCTTGGCCCCAGGTGACAGTGACTGTTTAATGTTCTGACCAAGCCTCTGTGTAGCTGCTCTCTGCCCGAGTCTGAGTCTGAAATAAGGCAAGCCCTGTGTGTTAGTCCTTCAGGGAGCCACAAGACGATGGAAGCAGACAACTGCACTGCCTTGCAGACAAGGCCCTCTCCGCTTCCCTGGCAGCAGCACCCACACCAGGAACTCCAGCTGCCGTCTTCCTGTCACCCAGCTGGGGATGGGGATGGGCAAGGGGAAGTTAAAATCCACAAGGCTCTCCTATTGGATTCTGTTGCTTTTACTTGATTGTGCGTTCCCTTGCCTGCTGCAAACCTTTGACTATTTTCCAGAGTTCAGATAAAACTGAACTCCAGCCCCCTCTGTTTGGCTGGATGGGTGGACGACAGGTGGGGATGGGAAGGTCTTGGGGAAGCGATGGTGGAGGAAGCCCAGGACATTGTGGGACCATGTCCAAACCAGAGCATGGGAGAACACATGACCATGTGTGCAGATGTAGCCAGACAATTTCAAGCAGGATGGAACAAATCTGAGAACAAATTCCTGGAAATACAACTGCAGGGCAAGGGAACGCTGGCTGGGCGTGGTGTGTTTATCCGTTTGGGTTTTCCCAGTTTCTGATGTTCTGTGGAGGGACAGGCCCTCACAGTTCCTCTCTGCACCACTTTCTCTGACGTCGGTCTTCGCAGGCACAATTTGGGACAATCTTTTGAGGGCAGTTCTCAGTATCTATGAATTCAAAATCCATGAACAACCCGCACTAGCATTGCCACTCCTGGGAATTGAGGCAAACACGTCGTACCTGAGTGTGGAAAGGTATATGGTAGGAGCACCCACAGAGGCATTGCTTGTAATAATGAACAGCCAGAGAGACACTGGATGCCATCCACCTGCTGCTGCATACATCAGGTGCAGCGGGTCGACACATTGGAACACTGTGCACCTTGCTGAAGAAAACCATGAGAAACTATTTTTGCTAATCAAATTGGCAAAAAAAAAAAAAAAAAATTAAAAAAAAAAAAAGGAAAAAAAAAAAAAAAAAAAAAAAAAAAAGAATAATGTGGCTCCCGTGTTGTGACTGAAGTAGACTCAGGGCCTCTTGCGGGCAACGTGGTGACGGTCACACCTCGCCAGCGTCCCTTGCCTGCAGTTGCATTTCTAGGAGTCTCAGATTTGCTTGATCCCATTTGAAAGCACGTCTGGCTACATCTGGACCTGCGTGTCCATGAGTTTCCCTCGCCCTCTGGTCTGCATGTGCTCCCACACAGTCCTGGCTTCCTCTGCCATTGGGGTCTTCCTGTTCCCACAGCCCTCCGCCCCCCAACCCAGCACAGGGCGCTCCGGAGGCCGCGTCTCTGTCCCCTGCTCTGCATCCCAGCTGCAAGCCCGGGGCCGGAGCAGAGGGCGTCCCTGAGCGTCTCTGGGTGTGCACAGGAGGCCAGGGTGCCCAGGCTTTCCCCGATGGAACTCCCTGAGCGCCGGGACAGCTGGAGCCCAAGTTCCCACCCACCCTCGTCTCCCACCTCCCAGCACAGCTGGGGCCTGCCACCCCCGGGACAGCTGCGCCCCTCGCCGTGGGAAGAGCTGCTTCCACCCACAGTGAGAGGGGCGCTGGCCGGAGCCATGCGGTGCCCGTGGGACTCAGCCTGTGAGCAAGGCTTTTGGCCCCACAGGACCCGGGAGGGGAGCCGGGGAGCAGAACATACCGCGAGGTGGGCAGGAGCTTCCAGGTATCACAAGAGCCCCCGAGGCCCCCCAGCAGGAGATGCAAAGAGATCAGGGCCCAGCCCCCCAGAGCCAGGCCAGGCCCCGCTCTGTCCCCTCCCGCCCTGGGTGCGCCAGAGTCAGCACAGAGTCAGCGTGGGGCCGCAGCGGCTTTATTGGTGCTCAGAGGCACAGGGTGCCTCCTGGGTGAGACCCGGGTCAGGAGGCCCATCCCCACAGCGTAGGGTCGTGGCCTGCAGCCGGGAAGCCTGGTGAGGAGCAGCCGGGCTCCTCCACACTGGGCGAGGTCAGGGAGGAGCCAGTGAGCGTCTCAGACCCCACCCTGGGCTGGGCGGCGGTGGGTGGGGCTGCTCCTTCTCTGTGGTTGAGCTGCGCTGGGGCTGGGTGGGCTGGGAGGTCAGGGGCTTCTAAGGACTGGCAGGGAGGTGGGGTCTGAGACCGGCTGGCCCTGGGGGATGTGGCCGTCAGCAGCTGGACTTCTGGCCTGAGGAGAAGCTTCAACAGGCTGGGCGGGAGCACACGGGGCGGCAGAGGAGGGACGCGCAGGAGGCCGGGCGGCAGCAGCTGGACTGGCAGGAGGAGGAGGGGGCACAGCAGGAGGGGGCACAGCAGGAGGGGACGGGCACGCAGCAGGCAGGCCTGCACACAGGGCGGCAGAGCAATGACACGGAGGAGGAGGATCTGCAGCAGGAGGAGGTGCAGCAAGCCGGCTGGCAGCTAGACTGCTGGCAGCACAGAGAGGAAGCCCCAGCAGAGACAGGCACACAGCAGACAGACTTGCAGCAGACGGGCACACAGCAGGCCTGCTGACAGGTGGATGAGGTGCAGCAAGCTGGCTGGCAGCTAGACTGCTGGCAGCATGAAGAGGAGCCCTCAGAGCATGTGGGCACACAGCAGATGGTCTTGCAGCAGACAGGCACGCAGCAGGCCTGCTGGCAGGGGGAGGAGGTGCAGCAAGCCGGCTGGCAGCCAGATTGTTGGCAGCATGAAGAGGAGCCCTCAGAGCAGGTGGGCATGCAGCACACGGGCTTGCAGCAGACAGGCTTACAGCAGACGGGCACGCAGCAGGCCTGCTGGCAGGGGGAGGAGATGCAGCAAGCCAGCTGGCAGCTAGACTGCTGGCAGCATGAGGGCGTGCAGGAGCTGGTGCAGCCTGATTGGCAGGGGCTGGGCTCACAGGCCGCCTGGCAGCAGGGGCTGGACACACAGCTCACTGGGGTGCAGACCAGGGTCAGGCAGGGGGCCGGGGCGCAGCAGCTGGGGGCGCAGCAGGGGGGCTCACAGCAGCTCTCTGGGCAGTCGTCCACCTGCCAGGAGTCGGAGCAAGCGCTGGAGCAGACGGACATGGTGGACGCGGCCATGCTGGGGTGTGGAGGAGGTGAGTGGGGGAGATGTGAGTGAGTGAGTGTGAGTGAGTGTGTGAGTGTGTGAGCCTGTCAGCTGCTGGGGCTCTGGGGCTTTTATACGCCCGGTGCCTGTCTTTTCCCCAGCACGAGACTCAGCAACGCCTTCCGTGTTGGTGTTTGTTGCTGGGAGGACCCTCATTATTTCTGCTTCCCTTGCTGTGACTTGTCCTCACTCTGCTCCTCACACTTGGCTGGTCCTGGGCAGGGCCAGTGCCCCTGGCTGAGCCTGGACCCCGGGACACCAGGGGGACAGTGCAGCGTCTCTGGGGCTGCCCTGGTGACTTCCACCTGCGAGGTCCTGTGGCTGTCCCCAGCGTGGTCTCTTGGCCCAGGGGATGCCCAGCCTCTGTCTGCAGGGACCTCATGGGGCAGGCTGGCCTGGCTGGGACTGGGAGAGCCAGGAAGGAGGCGCCTGTGCAGGGAAAAGGCACTTGAGGGCAGCGCTTCCTGGGGGGCTGTGGGATCTTCTGAGCTCCTGATGCCTGCCAAGGGCAGGAGGACAGGGAGGACCTCCCTCCCCTGAGAGGGAGAGGAACGTTCCGGGAAGGCCTCTGGACAGTCAGCTCATTGGGAGGACAAGGTTTGGGGACTGGCCTTTGGGTCTGGACCACCGTCCCCTGGAGCCCTGGTCAGGTGTCCTGAGAGGGGTGGGCTTAGGTCACGGCTTGAGGGTGGCGAGGAGCCTCTGCCTCAGGGAGGCAGGTCTGGAGTGACGGTCACATGGAGAGTAGAGGACACTCGGGGTGGGCAAAGCCAGCCTGTGCCTGGGAGGTCATCGGGCAGGACAGGCCCTGATCCCGGGTCAGGGACGGTCACAGGTGAGCTCCTCTGTCTCGCAGGCCTGAGGCTAGTTCTCATCAGGAACCGCAAACCTCTCCCAGCGTCCTTCCAGCCTCTTTCAGCTGAGCACGAGCCTACAGCAGCCTGGGATGGGTTAAACTCACAGCCCCCCAAAGCCCCTGCCTGCACACACGCCTCGCCACTGTGATGGAAATTCCGTTGGAATCTGGCCCCCAGCACGTGCCAGTCACTCCGCGCCCCACGGCCGTTGTCACACAGCGCCTCTGGGCTCTCCAGGGTGATGTCCGTGAAGACTCAGCTCCCCACAGGAACCTCTCATGAAGACACAGCGTGGTCAGCCTGGGAACCAGGGCCAGCGCCAACGCAAAACTGAGGCGGCTGTGTTCCCTAATGGGGTATGATGGGGGATCGTTCCACAGACCTGGAGCCCCAAGTTATAGCATGCGACTAGCGACAGCTTCAGCGATCTTAGAAAATGACCCCCACAGTAGCCCTGATGATGAAGCTGGCCAAGTGAGAGCATTTGCCGAGCACGGGCTATGCCAGGCAGGATTCCAAGCACTTGGCATCTATTAACTCACTTCACTTTGGCATCAACTCCTTGTCGAAGTTACTGTGGACAGATACGGAAGCCTCAGCACAGAGAGGTTGAGCAGTCTGCTCAAAGTCACACAGGAAAAGTGACAGAACCAGGAATAGAAGCCAGCCAGTCTGCACATAGGATCTACATCCTCAACCAGTGCGTCTCTGATTCCAAACAGATGTCGAAGATGAAGGTCAGCAAGTCTTCATTACCAAATTTAATACCAAACAGCTGGATTAAAAATTCACATCAGAGGCAGAAGAGCAAAACTAATACCACAGAGAATCAATGCAATGGTTTTAAGACTAAACATGAGTAGTTCTTCCAAATGCCAAGGTAAAAGATAAACCCACAAATATAATGAGGGAAAAGATAACACAGAGTGTGTATTTATTGGAGACCAAACATGAAAATTCAATCGCTGAGCAGAAAAACACAAATAGGTCCAAAATAATAATCACAGACGTAATTGAAGATCTGCTATTCTGGGCTGAATGAACAGAGGTGTGTATATTTGGAGTAGAAAAACTTAATGAATTCCAAGAAAATCAGGCCTTTAGAGCCCACTCTAGAACTGCATTGGCACATTTTTAAACGTAGAAGACATAAGAACAGTCCCTCACATGCAGGACGAATAACATCCAATCTGGAAATGAACCGCATCAGGCTGACCTCAGACCTCTGTCCCACTAACCAGGATATGGCAATATCCTCAGAGCTTCCAGGGGAAGCTTTGGTGGACTAAGGCTCTATTTTTCCTTTTTTCAAATTATTACACCTTTCTCAAATAAAGATAACAGTGATGTATTTTCATAAAAGCAAGAGCTTAGAAAGTACTCCACCCAGGTATCCCTCTTAGAAAAAATACTTAAGGAAATATGACAAATGGCAAAGTGATTGTTATGGATAGAATGTTTGTGTCCTCCCAAAATTCACACGTTGAGACCCTAATTCCAATATGATGTGTTAAGAGGCGGGGCCTTTGGGAGGCAGTTAGGTCAAGAATGGGATTTGTGCCCTTTAGAGAAGAAACCCTGGAGAGATTCTCTCTGTCCTGTGAGGACAGCAAGAAGGTGGCTGTCTGTAGGCCAGGAAGAGCGCCCTCTCCAGAAGCCCACCATGTGGCACCCTGCCTGATCCTGGACTTCCAGATTCCAGAACTGGGAGAAAGAAATGCCTACTGCTCAAGACCCCCAAGTCCATGGCAATTTGTTTTATCAGCCCCAATGGACTACAACAGAGAAGAAACGAAGACAAGAGCTCAGAAATGCAAAGGCTGGGGTATCAAGGAGCTGGCCCAGATACGAAGACAGGAAGACACTGACCTGTGTCCACGTAACCAATGTGCTCAGTTATAACTGCAAATGCAAAATTCCCATCTGTTATAACAGATGCATATTCAACATTGAAATTGAATAGCAGTGATGAGATTCTAATACTTCACTGCATGCTAATGTGAGAGGCCACTAACCACATGTGGCTCTTGAAATGTGGCTCGTGCCACATGTTGAAATGGTAACACTTTGGAGGTTCTGGGTTAAATAAGGTCTATTCCTTAATTAACTTCACCTGTTCCTTTTGCCATCCTTAAATGTGGCTGTTATAATATTTACGATTGCATGTGTGGTTCTGCTTCTCCTGGAATATGCTGTATGTTGCTTTCAATTAAACAGGAAAGACTGAGAAGCCGGTGGGGGTGGACAAGTGGGCTGATGTTGAGGAGTGCGAGATTAATGCTGTTTTAAATGGAAATTCTCAAATTACAGTTCCATTCCTCACTTTAATAATTAGAAAATAAACATAATGGTAAACTTAAAAACTATTTATTTGTACAATTAGAAACAGGATGTATATTTTTCAAAACAGCAAATGAAAGTAGAAAAGAAAAAAGCAAACCATGGTGGTTATTGTAAAGACAGAAAAGCAATTGAAACCAGAGGTAAACCTCGAAAGCAGAGAACACAGTGAAAATGTCAGGGTGAAGCGCGAAGCAGCTGGTTAGAAAGGAAAATAAATTTCATCTGATGTTTCCTATTAGATGAAAACATTTCTCAAAATTGTTTATAAAATAAAAACCAGAATAAGGTAACGAATGTCACAATTAAACAGCAATGAGAGGGAAAGAGATGCCTCCCAGGTCCGACGGCTGTGGCGGCCTACACGGAGCCTCCTCTCCCATCCTCCCCAAGGGGTGACCCACGCAGCCTAGAAACAGGGGCTCCCACACTAGCAGGGCCCCCATATCCTACAGGATGAGCCGAAGGGAGGGTGGCCTGGCTCAGGCTTCCTTGCAGGTGGGGAAACCATGTTCCCTTACAGAGTCCCACCCAGTGGGGAGACATGGGCATGTGGCTAGGCCGGCTGGTGAAGGGCTGTGGGAGATGGGTGGTAAAGGGCACCTAGCGTCAGAAGTCCCCTCCCAGTCCTTGCTTGGTGAGTCCCCCACCCCACACACACATCCTACCCCCCCTTCACAAACAGGGTGGAGGCTGCACAAGCACGGTCATGGGGCTTAGGGTGGGGCAGCCTCGCCCTGGGCTGCTGACCAGGCTGGGACACAGAGAGGGCTGGGGGCAGCCCTTCCTGCCCTGCCTGCTCCCCTTGTCCTGGTGGCCGGGCTGGAAGCTTGGAAAGGAAAATGAAAGTGACAATGCACCCGTGTCCTTCCATCCTGGGAGCCCGTGACCCTGGGACAGGGACTTCCATCCCTGTCGTTACATTTGCACAGACATGCTGTGAAAACTGCTAAGGAACAAAGCATTGCCTGGACAAGTCAACAGACACAACAGTCCAAAAGAAAAGACCTCCTCAAGAATTAAGGAATCATCGCCAACAACAGGGGAAAGTTACAGAAAATTTCCAGTTAGTCTTAAGAATTGGGAAGTTGCGACAGGGTTCCAGTTCTGGAAACCTGTTAGTGAGATTGTCTGACCCACCATCCTGCTGAAAACAACTGAAAGCACTGGGAAGAATCTTCCTAGTCACAGCAGGAAACTGGAAAAGGAATAAAGAATTACAGGATTACAGGCCCAAATCAAAGGCAGGGGTCTTTGCCCTTTTTTGGCCAGGGGCCTTCCCCACCACCTTGTGAAACCTTTGAACGTTTTCAAATGAGTAAAGTAAAAGAAAACCAACTACATTAAGTCACGGTGATGGGGTGGGCATGGTGCTCACGCTTGTAATCCCAGCCCTTTGGGAGGCCAAGGCAGGTGGATCATGAGGTCAGGAGTTCAAGACCAGCCTGGCCAAGATGGTGAAATCCTGTCTCTACTAAAAATACAAAAAAATTAGCCATGCGTGGGGGCGGGTGCCTGTGATCCCAGCTACACAGTAGGCTGAGGCAGAGAATTGCTTGAACTGGGGAGTGGAGGTTGCAGTGAGCCGAGATTGCGCCACTGCACTCCAGCCTGGGCAACAGAGCAAGACTCTGTCTCAAAACAACAAAGAAAAACAAAACGCGATTATTAAACTGAAAACATGAGTTAACGATCTAGCCCCTGCTTCTCTAGGGAACACACGCCCGGCGGGACCCAGCGGCGCATCTCACGCTGCCGTCATTATGAAATAGCAGTGGCCAGAATGAGGTTTTGAGTATCTGCAGCCACCATAATGTGACGCCCCACATCTCATTTCTGTGGGTGCCAAAGCCGCAGGTGCCGTAAGTATTCTCAGCTACATTCATGATTGATTGAAACGCTACATTTCAGTCAGAGGTTTGCGAAATAAAGATGCATTTTTTATTCTTCTCATCTGAGCTCACAGATCCCAGGTGAAGGACCCTTGTTGTAACCCATAGCATTTAGAAACACCCAGAATTCGCTTTGTTCTTGAGAGCATTTGGTGGTCTGGCCATTTTAAATTTCAGATTGAGTGGTTTTGCAGGATGAAGAGGACAGAAATTGAAGCCGAGAGCCACCTTGTGGTGGGTCTAACAGGGACCACCCCTACATTAAGCTAAAGACAGCACAGGCTGCACCTTCAGAGAAGACGGAGGCAGAGCCACGCAGGGGCTTTGCCCATCCCGGGGGCTCCTGGCTGCCTGGGACTCCGCTCACCCAGAGAACATCCTGCCCCAGCAAGCCTGCCCTCATTCTGCTCTGCAGCCCAAACCGGCACGTTGTGGGTGGCCCACACTAATTGAAGCCACGTATTTAGTTGAAGGTGCTCCTAGAATCAGAGGTTCCTCACATAAGGAAAAAGCAAACACATCTTTCTTAGAGGCCTCAAAAATGCCCACAAATGCTTTTCAAGGGCAAGGGTGATGACTCAGCCACAAATAGCTAAGCACACAAGGAAACAAGACACCATGAGGGAGAATCAGCAGAAATTACAGAAAGCTGAACTGGACTTACAGAGACTTCAGGTACACGGATTGTCAAATAAATGTACACAGATGCTTTGAAATAAGAGATCAGCTCTGAAATATCTTCCAGGAATAAGAAATATTTATTTTATTGAGTAAGAGAGAGCTGGCGAGAAGAGGGTGAGTGGAGTTCAGACAGGCAGAGGAAGGAGAGAGAGGAGCCCAGGGAGAGGCCAGGCCCTGTGGGTGTGGGGGATTCACAGAGAAGGGCACACCCAAGGCCTGGACATGCTGAGGCTGGCAGGGAACCCCACAACAGCAGACCCAGCACAGTGGAAGGTCAGGACTGCCTCCGTCCCCGTGCTGTCACCCTGGACACAGCTCCAGGCGAGTCCCAAAGCGCCCACCCCACACAGCACATGGGAGCTCTTCCCCAGGGTCTGCCAGATACACAAAAAAGGCCTCTGAGAGGGCAGAGTGGTGACTTTGTTTGTTGACAGACTGATCACTCACATGGGGCAGGACACAGCGGCCCCGGCTGTCCAGGATGGGGCTGAGGGTGTGGGAGAGGCGAGTGCTGGGAGGGAACTTGGCCGTGAAGTCTCGGCACTGCTGACTGGAGATACGGTGGCCCTGGGCAGAGGAGACTCCACCAGGGCTCAGGGCTACCAGGATTTCCGGAAGTCAGAGATGGCCCTGGGACAACTCTGGAGACATGGGACCTGCCCGTCAGCAGCTGGACTCCTGGCCTGAGCAGAGGCCTCAGCAGGCCGGGCGGGAGCATGCCGGGTGGCAGAGGAGGGACACACAGGAGGCTGGGCGGCAGCAGCTGGGCTGGCAGGAGGAGGAGGGGGCACAGCAGGAGGGGACACAGCAGGCAGGCCTGCACACGGGGCGGCAGAGCAGGGACACTGAGGAGGAGGGTTTGCAGCAGGAGGAGGTGCAGCAAGCCGGCTGGCAGCTAGACTGCTGGCAGCATGAAGTGGAAGCCCCAGAGCAGGTGGGCACACAGCAGACAGGCTTGCAGCAGATGGGCACACAGCAGACAGGCACACAGCAGGACTGCTGACATGGGGAGGAGGTGCAGCAAGCCGGCTGGCAGCTAGACTGCTGGCAACATGAAGAGGAGCTCTCAGAGCAGGTGGGCACACAGCAGACGGGCTTGCAGCAGACAGGCACACAGCAAGACTGCTGGCAAGAGGAGGAGGCACAGCAAGCCGGCTGGCAGCTAGACTGCTGGCAGCATGAAGAGGAGCCCTCAGAGCAGGTGGGCACACAGCACACAGGCTTGCAGCAGACAGGCTTACAGCAGACGGGCACACAGCAGGCCTGTTGGCAGAGGGAGGAGGCGCAGCAAGCCGGCTGGCAGCTAGACTGTTGGCAGCAGGAAGAGGAGCCCTCAGAGCAGGTGGGCACGCAGCACACGGGCTTGCAGCAGACAGGATTACAGCAGACGGGCACGCAGCAGGCCTGCTGGCAGGGGGAGGAGGTGCAGCAAGCCAGCTGGCAGCTAGACTGCTGGCAGCATGAGGGCGTGCAGGAGCTGGTGCAGCCCGATTGGCAGGGGCTGGGCTCACAGGCCGCCTGGCAGCAGGGGCTGGACACACAGCTCACTGGGGTACAGACCAGGGTCAGGCAGGGGGCCGGGGCGCAGCAGCTGGGGGTGCAGCAGGCGGGCTCGCAGCAGCTCTCTGGGCAGTTGTCCACCTGCCAGGAGTCGGAGCAAGCGCTGGAGCAGACGGACATGGTGGACGCAGCCATGCTGGGGTGTGGAGGAGGTGAGTGGGGGAGGTGTGAGTGTGTGGTGGGTGTGTGAGCGATCGTGCCAGGTGCTCTGAGCGGTCAGAAGCTTTATACCCCTCGGTGTTGATTGCGCTGCCCTGGCTGGCTTCGGGAAGCCTTCCTTTTCCTTGTTGTTGCTGCAGGCACTGTTGTGTTAGTAGTGTTGGTCCACTGTTTGTGGATGTTCTGGTTTGTGAGGCTCCCAGCTGGAGTTGGGGCTGTCCTCATGTGGGTTTGTCCATGGATAAACTAGTAGAAATGTATTGATTGCATCAAAGCACACTGTAGTGGCAGGGACAGGGGCATTCAGGCGATATGCTGGAATTGACAGCCCTCAGCTGCATCCCAGAAGTTTATACTTATGAAAGACTTCTACACCCAAGGAGGGATGAGGTTAGGAGAACCTCAGTTTCTGGGCATTGAGAAAAGGGAGAGATGTGTTCTGCTGTGGACAGGTTTGATGATGCTCAGTTGGCCTGGCCACATGGCGAGAGCCACCCTGTGGGTCGACACTGCTGGTTGTCAGTGGGAACCATGGGGCATATTTCTGCTGGGGGTGAGCTCTGGAGCAGGTGTGAGGTAATAGTGCCTTCCTGGGCAGAGATTGGCTCACAGAGGGGAGCAGGGAGGCAGCCAGGCCTAGCACATAGGGCTGGACGTGAGGGGAAAGCACCTTCGTTTGATTTCACATTGAACTGTCCTGTGACCTTCCCCAGGGGTGTGCATAATCATGTTCACAACTTCTCCTCTCATGTCTTAGGCAACATCACCTACAATGGTTCCTTTGGGAGCTCCAAGATCTCTTCCCTTCCATGGGCCAGTAAGTCATCAGAATGTGGTAGTTCTACTGTTGTCTCCTGGACGTTGTCATAGTAAATGTACAAATAAAAGGGTCTGGTTGCAAAGCCTTGTCTCACAAATACCTATACACCTGTGTGCATCTGCCCATGCCCGTGCTCGGGACCACATCTGTGCCCTAGTAAGTCCCCAAAGTTCTGATCATGGGTCCCTCATCTCCTCACTCTGTGATCACTCTTCTCTATTAAATCTCTGAAATGGCAGAGGCGGAGACTCTGATGATCCTGTGGGCTCCAGGGCTCTCCAAAATTAGGTCAGGTCTCCACTGAGTGCTTTCTGGGGGCCCATAGGCTGCAGGGTTTGAAGCCAATGACCATTGATGGGTAGGGCTAAGGGCTATGTTGGAGGACTACCTGGCAAAGACAGGCTACAGTGGAAAAATATTATTTCATAGACATAAGAGCTGGACACAGACTGGCAAATTGGATAAAGAGTCAAGACACCTTGCTGTGCTGTATTCGGGAGACCCATCTCACATGCAAAGACACACATAGGCTCAAAATAAAGGAATGGAGGAAAATTTACCAAGCAAATAGAAAGCAAAAAAAGCAGGGGTTGCAATCCTAGTCTCTGATAAAATGGACTTTAAACCAACAAAGATGAAAAAAGACAAAGAAGGGCATTACATTATGATCAAGGGATCAATTTAATGAGAAGAGCTAACTGTCCTAAATATCTATGCACCCAATAAAGGAGCACCCAGATTCATAAAGCAAGTTCTTAGAGACCTACAAAGAGACATAAATTCCCACAAAATAATAGTGGGAGACTTTAGCACCCCACTGTCAATATTAGGCAGATCAATGGGACAGAAAAGTAACAAGGATACTCAAAACTTGAATTCAGCTCTGGATCAAGTGGACCTCATAGACATCTACAGAACTCTCCACCCAAAATCAACAGAACATACGTTCTTCTCAGTGCCACATGGCACTTATTCTCAAACTGATCACATAATTCAAAGTAAAACACTCCTCAGCAAATGCAAAAGAACTGAAATCATAACAAAGTCTCCCAGACTACAGTCCAATCAAATTAGAACTCAGGATTCAGAAACTCACTCAAAACCACACAACTACATGGAAATTGAATAATTTCTGAATTATTCAAGCTCCTGAATGACCCCTGGGTAAATAACAAAATTAAGGCAAAAATCAAGAAGCTATTTGAAACCAATGAGAACAAAAAGAGAGTGTATCACAATCTCTGGGACACAGCTGAAACAGTGTTAAGAGGAAAATTTACAGCACTAAATGCCCACTTCAGAAAGCTGGAAAGATCTCAGATCGACACCCTAACACCACAATTAAAAGAACTAAGAAGCAAGAGCAAACAAATCCAAAAGCTAGCAGAAGACAAGAAATAATTAAGATCAGAGAACTGAAGGAGATAGAGACAAGAAAATTCCTTCAAAAAATCAGTGAATCAGGAGCTGGTTTTTTGAAAAAGTTAACAAAATAGATAGACCACTTGCTAGACTAATAAAGAAGAAAAGAGGGAAGAATAAAATAGATGCAATAAAAAATGATAAAGGGGATATCTCCATTACCCCACAGAAATGCAGACTACCATCAGAGAATGCTACAAATACCTCTACACAAATAAACTAGAAAATCTAGAAGAAATGGGTAAATTCCTGGACATGCACCCTCCTAAGACTAAACCAGGAAGAAGTCAAATCCCTGAATAGACCATAGCAAGTTCTGAAATTGAGGCAGCAATTAATAGTCAACCAATCAATAAAAGCTCAAGACCAGATGGATTCACAGGCAAATTCTACCAGAGGTAAAAGAGGAGTTGGTACCATTTCTTCTGAAACTATTCCAAACAATGGAAAATAAAGGACTCCTTCCTAACTCATTTTATGATGCCAGCATCATCCTGATACCAAAACCTGGTAGAGACACAACAAAAAAAGAAAACTTCAGGCCAATATCCCTGATGAACATCAATGCAAAAATCCTCAATAAAATACTGATAAACCAAATCCAGCAGCACATCAAAAAGCTTATACACCACAATCAAGTCAGCTTCATCCCTGGGATGCAAGGCTAGTTCAACTTATGCAAATCAATAAACATAATCTATCACATAAACAGAACCAATGACAAAAGCCACACGATTATCTCAGTAGATGCAGAAAAGGCCTTCAATAAAATTCAACATACCTTCATGTTAAAAACTCTCAATAAACTAGATATTGATATAACATATCTTAAAATAATGAGCTATTTATGACAAACCCATAGCCAATATCATACTGAATGGGCAAAAGCTGAAAGCTTTCCCTTTCAGGGCACAAGACAAGATGCCCTCTTCACCACTCCTATTCAACATAGTATTGGAAATTCTGGCCAGGGTAATTGGACAAGAGAAAGAAATAAAGAGTATTCAAATAGGAAGAGGGGAAGTCAAATAGTCTCTGTCTGCAGATATTATGATTCTATATTTAGAAAACTCCATCGTCTCAGCCCCAAACTCCTTAAGCTGATAAGCAACTTCAGCAAGTCTCAGCATACAAAAATCAGTGTGCAAAAACCACAAGCATTCCTATACACCAACAATAGACAAACAGAGAGCCAAATCATGAATGAACTCTTATTCACAATTGCTGCAAAGAGAATAAAATATCTAGGAATACAGCTAACAAGGGATGTGAAGGACCTCTTCAAGGAGAACTATAAACCACTGTTCAAAGAAGTAAGAGAGGACACAAACAAATGGAAAAACATTCCATCCTCATGGATAGGAAGAATCAATGTCATGAAAATTGCCATACTGCTCAAAGTAATTTATAGATTCAATGCTATTCCCACAAAACTACCACTGACATTCTTTACAGAATTAGTAACTTTCCAAAATTATTGAAAAACATTAATCTACACATCCAGGAGCTCAGAAAACTCTAAGTTGGAGATACACAATAGATATGCAAATAGACATATAGTAAAAATACTGAAAGTGAAAAACAAGGAGGAAATCTTGAAAGCAGCAATAGAAAAGTTATTTATAAAAGAACCATAAGAAGAGCAACAGTTGACTTCTTATCAGAAACAAGACACCAGAAGGCAGTATGATGGTACATTCAAAGTGCTCAAAGAAAAGGAAACGTCAACCAAGAATTCTATATCCAACAAAGTTATCTTTCAGAAATGAAGGCAACATGAAGACATCCCTAGATAAATCAAAACTGAGGGAATCTATTGCATGCAGATGCATCTTATGAGACACAGAGTTCTGCAGACCAAAAGCAAGTCACCCCAGACAGAAATTCATATCCACACAGAAAAACAAAACAGCAGTAAAACTAATTATGTAATTATAAAAGATAGTACAAATGCAATTTTCTCCTTTATTCTCTTAACTGATTTTTAAAAAGCGATATAAAAATGTATATTTGGTATTGTTGGGCCTATGGCAATAATAGTACAAAGGAGGTACATGGAAACAAAGCTATATTGGACAAAGGAAGTTACTAAAGATAGTAATGTGAATCCACAGGAAAAAATGAAGAGAATCAGAAATGATAAAAAGGCTAATACAACAAATGATATAAATATATACTGTTTCTTCTTTATTCTCTAAGCATCTTTAAAAGCCATACAATTATAGAAAGTAATAATTATTACAATATATTATTGGGTTTTAACATCTGTAGATGTAATATATATAACAACAAGACTATGAAAAGGGCAAAAAGGAAAAGATTAATATAGGAGCAATCTTTTTGTATCTCACCAGTATTAAGTTAGCACAAATCTGAAGTTGATCTTGACAAGTCAAAATAAGTATATGGCAAGCCCCAGAGCAACCACTAAGGAAAAACTAAAACAGTGTCATGGGAAAACATTAAAGAAATAAAAAGGCTACGTTTGGAAATATTCACTTAATATAAGAGAAAGTAGTAAAGAAAGAACACAACAGTAACAGAAAACCCCATAAAACCACAGAACCATATAAAACATATGGGAAATAAAAAGTAAACTTAGACATAAATCTAACTACAGTTGATTTTTGTTGTTAGTAGTAATTACATAAAGTCATTCCAAATACTGAATTAGGAAATACTATAGGAGAAATACAGAGTTTGGTTCTTGTAGGCCTCTGGTATCAATATATAATCTGTGTCATATGT